TCCTCGAGACTGGGCTCCGAGAGGGAGGAGAGAGGAGCGAGGAGGGGTCAGACGCAAACGGACCATTTGATTCCACTTCTGTTTGTCGGATTGTGCTCTGGGAGAGGTCTTGGCGACCCTGGCCCGTCGGAGGAGGTAGCCGGCGCCGAGGCGCGAGCGCGATTCGTTGGTAAATTGCAAGGGATTCTCAGGGGGAGCCATGCTGAAGCAAATCGTGGAGATGCCTCGAGCGAGAGCGCGGCGAGCAGGGGGGAGGCAGGACAGGGGGAGGAGAGAGAGAGGATGAAAGAGCTCCCAGATGCTGCGCGAGAGGTGGTCCAGCTCGTTTCGCCTGAGACATCCTTGCAATTCTGAGCGCCGAGAAGATGTGCGCAATGTGGTCTGGCCGGTTTCGCTTCAGAGATCCTCGCAATTCGGGGCTTCGAGATGCTGCGGGCGAGGTGGTCTGTCTCGTTTCGGCTGTGGCATCCTCGAATTTCTGGGCTCTGAGAGCGAGATGCTGCGCGCAAGGTGGTCTGGCGCGTTTCGCCTGAGACATCCTCGCAACTCCAGGCTCCTTGAAGGTGTGCGCGAGGTGGTCCAGCTCGTTTCGCCTGAGATATCCTCGCATCTTTGGGCTAACAGAACATGTGCTCGAGGTGGTCTGGCGCGTCCCGCTTGAGGAACCCTCGCATTTCTGGGCTCCGAGATGCCGCGCCAGAGGTGGTCGGTCCTGTTTCCGCCTAAGACATCCTCGAGACTGGGCTCCGAGAGGGAGGAGAGAGGAGCGAGGAGGGGTCAGACGCAAACGAACCATTTGATTACACTTCTGTTTTCGAATTGTGCTCTGGGGGGGTCTTGGCGACCCTGGCTCGACGGAGGAGGTAGCTGGCGCCGAGGCGCGAGCGCGATTCGTTGGTGAATTGCAAGAGATTATCAGGGGGAGGCATGCTGGATCAAATCGTGAAGATGTCTCGAGCGAGAGCGCGGCGAACAGGGAGGTGGCAGTATGGGGGAGGAGACAGGGAGCTTCGAGATGCTGCGCGAGAGGTGGTCCAGTTCGTTTCGCCTGAGATATCCTTGCAATTCTGAGCTCTGGGAACTTGTACCGTTTCGCTTGAGAGATCCTCGCAATTCGGGTCTCCGAGATGTTGCAGGGTCGAGGTGGTCGGGCCCGTTTTCGGCTGAGACATCCTCAAAACTCTGGGCTCCGAGAGGGAGGAGAATAGAGGGAGGAACGAGGAGGAGGAGGAGGAGGAGGGGGAGGGGGAGGAGGAGGAGGCGGGGAGGAGGGGGAGGGGGAGGAGGAGATTGAGGAGGAGATTCAGAGATTCAGATCTATCGCGAAGCGAATGAGGAGGGAGGAGGAGGAGGAGGGAGGAGGGAGGGAGGGAGGGAGGGAGGGAGGGAGGGAGGGAGGAGGGAGGGAGGGAGGGAGGGAGGGAGGGAGGGAGGGAGGGAGGGAGAGAGGAGGGAGGAGGGAGGAGGGAGGAGGAGGAGGAGGAGGAGGAGGAGGAGGAGGAGGAGGAGGAGGAGGAGGAGGAGGAGGAGGAGGAGGAGGAGGAGGAGGAGAGGGAGGGGGGGAGGGAGGAGGAGGAGGAGGAGGAGGAGAGAGGAGGGAGGAGGGAGGAGGAGGAGGAGGAGGAGGAGGAGGAGGAGGAGGAGGAGGAGGAGAGGAGGAGGAGGAGGAGGAGGAGGAGGAGGAGGAGGAGGAGGAGGAGGAGGAGGAGGGGGAGGGGGAGGGGGAGGGGGAGGGGAGGGGGAGGGAGGAGGAGGAGGAGGAGGAGGAGGAGGAGGCGGAGGAGGAGGAGGAGGAGGAGGAGGAGGAGGAGGAGGAGGAGGAGGAGGAGGAGGAGGAGGAGGAGGAGGAGGAGGACGAGGACGAGGACGAGGAGGAGGAGGAGGGAGGAGGAGGAGGAGGAGGAGGAGGAGGAGGAGGAGGAGGAGGAGGAGGAGGAGGAGGAGGAGGGAGGAGGAGGAGGGGAGGAGGGGGAGGAGGGGGAGGAGGGGAGGGGGGAGGAGGGGGAGGAGGGGAGGAGGGGGAGGAGGGGGGAGGGGAGGGGGAGGGGGAGGGGGAGGAGGAGGGGGGGAGGGGAGGGGGAGGGGGAGGGGGAGGGGGATGAGGAGGAGGAGGAGGAGGAGGAGGAGGCAGAGACAACCGGATCATGTGATTACACATTTTTTGTCCAATTGTGCTCTGGGAATGGTCTGGGCGCCGCCTAAGACATCCTCGGAACTCTGAGCTCCCAGGTGTCGCACGCGAGGTCGCCCGAGACATCCTCGCAAGTCGGGGCTCCGAGATGCTGCTCGCAAGGTGGTCTGGCGCGTCTCGCCTCAGACATCCTCGCAACTCCAGGCTCCTTGAAGATGTGCGCGAGGTGGTCCAGCTTGTTTCGCCTGAGACGCTCTCGCAACTCTGGGCTTTCAGAACTGTGCTCGAGGTGGTCTGGCGCATCTCGCTTGAGACATCCTCGCAACTCCGGGTTCCTTGAAGATTTGCTCGAGGTGGTCCAGCTCGTTTCGCCCGAGAAATCCTCGTAACTCTGGGCTCTCAGAACATGTGCGCGAGGTGGTCCGGCGCATCTCGCTTGAGACATCCTCGCAGCTGGACTCCGAGAGCACCAGAGGTGGTCTGGCCTGTTTCGCCTGAGACATCCTCGAAACTGGGGTGCAACAGGGAGAAGAGAGAGAGGAGCGAGGAGGGGTCAGACGCAAACGAACCATTTGATTCCACTTCTTTTGTCGGATTGTGCTGTGGGAGAGGTCTGGGCTTGCCTGGCCCGACGGAGGAGGTAGCCGGCGCCGAGGCGCGAGCGCGATTCGTTAGTAGATTGCAAGGGCGCGTCAGGGGGGAGCCATGCTGGAGCAAGTCGTGGAGCCGGCGAGCAGAGAGGAGAGGACGGGGGAGCCATGCCTCGAGCGAGAGCGCGGCTGGCAGAGAGGAGGCAGGACCAGGGAGGAGACAGGAGAAGGACGGAGCTCCGAAATGCTGCGCGAGGGTAGTAACGGAGGAGGGAGACGGGACCAGGCTCACACGCTATTTGTTGGATGGCACCCCTGACGAGGGTGCCTCCTGGAAGTGGTATCGCGACTGCGAAGGCGTCCCTGGCATGGCAGAGGAAGCGGACAAGAGGAGGGAAGAGGATGATGATGATGATGATGATGATGATGATGATGATGATGATGATGATGATGATGATGATGATGATGATGATGATGCTGATGCTGATGATGATGATGATGATGATGATGATGATGTTGTTGATGATGATGATGATGATGATGATGATGATGATGATGATGTGGTGGTGGTGGTGGTGGTGGGTGGTGGTGTGATGATGATGATGATGATGATGATGATGATGATGATGATGATGATGATGATGATGAGGAGGAGGAGGAGGAGGAGGAGGAGGAGGAGGACGAGGAAGAAAACGACGAGGGGGAATCGCACCAGGAGCATGAGCTGGATTTCGTATGAGGAGGGGGACGAGGAATAGTGATATGAGGAGATAGAAGAGGGGGAGGAGGAGGAGGTGGAGGAGAAGGAGGAGGAGGAGGAGGAGGAGGAGGAGGAAGAGGAGGGAGCGGAGGAGGAGGAGGAAGAGCAGGAGGAGGAGGAGGAGGAGGAGGAGGAGGAGGAGGTGTAGTGGAAGGCGGGGGTGGGGGGTGGGGCGCGAGGGCGAAAATGAGTTTTATAGGGATGCGGGGGAGGATGAGGACGACGATCACGAAAAGCTAAGCGACGACGCCGAAGGCGCAGGCGAATCAGAAACAGGATAACGCGCGAACGCTCTTAAGAGCCACCTTGGCTCAAAGAGCGGGGAAAATAGACTATGGCTATAATTTTCTTTGGGTTATGCATCGAAGTCGAGACAGGATTTGGCATTCCAGTTCGGCGTGGAGGACTTGAGCTGGCCCATGGGATTAGGAACGCAAGTGCGTTAGATGATGTTATGTGCACGCGGCAGCGCCGCTTTCAAGTCTGATCGCAAACGTGCTTCATACCGGCAGTACGGATGTCAGCACTCGTTGTAGTTAGTTGCCACTCTACGGACCAACTCTATTCATTTACAATGCCGCAATCAGCGCTTGCGAGAAGGGGGCTCAATGGCAGCGGGCATTATTCTTCCTCACGGAGATGAGACAAGCAAAGCTGGAGCCCGACGTCATCAGTACCAGTGCTGGAATCAGCGCGTGTGAAAAAGGGGGGCGCTGGCAGCATGCACTGTCGCTGCTACGGGAGATGGGCGGAGCAATGTTGGAGCTTAATATTGTCAGCTACGGTGCTTGCACCAGCGCGTGCGAGAAGGGTGGCCACTGGTGGGAGGCATTGTTTTTGATCCGCGAAGTGGAGGTGTCGGGGTTGGAATTGAATGTCGTCTGTTGCAGTGCTGGAATCAGTGCATGTGAGAAAGGTGGTCATTGGCAACAGGCGCTGTCACTGCTCAGCCACATGCGCTCAACGCAGCTGGAGCCAGACGAAATCAGCTTTAGCGCCGGAATTAGTGCGTACGAGAAAGGGGGACAGTGGCAGGGGGCGTTATTCTTGTTCAAGGGAATGGCGGAAGCCAAAGTGAAGTTGAACGTCGTCAGTCTCAGTGCTGTAGTCAGCGCTTGTGAGAAAGGTGGTGAGTGGCAGCGGGCCGTAGCACTGCTCAGGGAAATGGGGCAGGCAGTGGTGGAGCTGAACGTTGTCAGCTACAGCGCTGGAATCAGCGCGTGCGGGAAAGGGAGGCATTGGTTACAGGCGCTATCTTTGCTCATGGAGATGGGTGAAAATATGCTAGAGTCAGACGTAATCAGTTGCAGTGCTTCAATGTCCGCATGCGGGGAAAGCAGCAAGTGGCAGCAAACGCTGTTGCTACTCAGCGATATGGGGAAGAAGAAGGTGCAGTCCAACGTGGTCAGCTACGCTTCCGGAATCAGTGCGTGTGAGAATGGGGAAGTGCCTTTGCGGTAGCGTGACAAAACATGTTGTCTCTCCCCAGCATGTCTTCGTGTTAGCCTAATATTTGTGTTACCCCGTTCAGCTCTGCCGATAGAGCACTACACTGCCTGTATCGTATTGAAGGGCTTTGATGGATAAGCACACGTTTGCGCTAACACACGTGCTGAGGATAATAGATCTACGCGCGACCGTATCACACATCCGTACGCATCCGTATTCCATATTAAAAAGATGAGTGTACATATGCAGGCTGGCGCGAGGAGAAATGATTTTGAACATACCTGGTCTTCAACACTCCCTGCCACATTCGCTCGCAGGGTGCCGTGCGGAGAAACGATTTTAAACACATATGGTTTTTCATCACTCCCAGCCCGGTCCAGCCGTAGGGCGTTGCGTGGCAAAACGATTTCGACATTTACCTGGTTAAAAACAGCCTGGCCCGGTTCGACAACAAATCGCCTCGACGGAAAATCATCTCGAACACGTCTGCTTGTAACCACTCTGGCTGGATTCGCCCGCATAGCGCCGCGAAGAGAAACGGTTTCGAACACATTCTGTTGTAAACGCTCCTGGCCAGATTCGCCCGCATAGTGCCTCGAGGAAAAACGACTGCGAACGCATGTAGTTTTCAAACGCTCCTGGCCGCTTTCGCCCGCGGCGCCGTGAACAGAAGCGACTTCGAAGGCATCCGGGTTTACACACTCCCCCGCGGGGTCTGGCCGCAGAGCGCTGCGATGGAAAACGTGCTCGACATTTGTCAGGTCTTGATTTTCTCGCCCCAGTCCTGCTACAGCGTGCCACGAGGAGAAGCGATTTCGAAGAAATCTGGCTTTAGGCACTTCTGGCCATATTCGCCCGCACTGTGCCGCAAAGCGAAGATCTCGAACGCGTTTGTTTTGAAGCTTTCCTGGCCTGATTCGCACGCAGCCCGCTGCGAAGAGAAACAACCTAGAACAAATTTGGGTGTCTGGCCAGATTCGTTTGCGGCACGCCGCGATGCATTTCGAGCGCGCAGGTTTTTGCTTGGATTCGACTATCCCTTCCCGCGGCTCCCCAGCTCTGATCGAAACAGTGATGCAACAGAACATTGTCTTCGGGGTCAAGATGGAGAGCCCACGGGCGGCTAGTCATTCAGAAGTGTAGAGAGCGCAGTGCTCTTTCGACCAAGTGACTAGCGGATTCCTTATACCTGAAACATTGAAGTGATGTCTGTCCCCGCCAGCAAGCGTCCGTCCTGAAAACCAGGGGGGGGGGTGAAATAACGCATCTGCGAAGCCGCAGCCAGGCTAAGCAGGTCCAAGGGAGGAGGAGGAGGAGGAGGAGGAGGAGGGAGAGGAGGAGGAGGAGGACGAGGGAGCTGGCCAGGGCGCAGGCCGCGAGGCTCACCGTTGTCCGATTTCCAGGTCGGCCACCGCCGGTGCCGGTTCCAGCTGGAGCGGGTCTGCGCCGGGCGCGGGCGCCCCTTGCGGGCTTTCCCCCTTCCCCCCTCGTCCCTCCCCTCCCCACCCCGCGCGCTTGTCGTTTGTCTGGACTGTCGTCTGTCATTTTCGTCGTCGTGTCGTGTCGTCCCCCGTGTCGTCCCCGTGCACTCTTCCACTGGTTTCTCATTCGCTGGTCAAAAAAAATGTCGTGGGCAAGTCGCCAGTATCTCGGAGCACAGCGCGTGCCACGGCAGTTTGCAATCGTATTCCCTCAATGCCCCACCAGCGATATTGTAACATTCCACGTCGTATCCGCGCGCGGCAGCCTTGAGCACCTGCTCTGGCCAGAATCGGTCTAAGTTTGATGGATCGGGCCCTAAACGACCGTACGTTTCGGCTCCAAAGCGCACTTGTGTACCCAATCCACCATCAATGCCGTACAGGCGGCCTGGATTAGTAGGTCGACCCTGCCAGATTAAGGGTATCTTTGTGTTCTGTGTCTTGCGATTCATGCCTCCTGTATTTCTGTGGCAACGTGGCCCTTGTAAGGGTTTTGTGTCCTCTCGCGTGTCCTCTCCAATCAAGTCCGACTGTAAATATTGTTGTTTTTAATATCCGCCCTCTCCAACAATTCCCCGCCTTGATGCTAGAGCCAGAGTGCGGCACACCGCTTCGCGTCGTAGAGCAGACTGCGGCAACGCCACAGAACAATTGAAGGCCCCTGCCGACGTGTGAGCCAGCTACGACCGTGCCCATCTTCCGAAGATCACTTGGATATACATGGATGTGTCTGTGTGTGTGTGTGCGTGTGTTCGCCAAGCGTCGATCCATATTTCGGAAATTGGAACATATACATTACTAGTGGCGCGCTGTTTTTAATCCCTGGACTTTTTGAGGGTCAGGGACGACGTCGGGGTGGTGTGGTGTACAGTTGTTTCCCCGTTTTCCTGGGGAAGTGACGAACATGTATACACCAGCATCCCGTATACACCAGGATCCGCTTTCTGTGCGAGTTTCAGTGCAGGGCCAGAACAAGCGTAGGTGTATAGAGGTCGGTTCCCTAATATTAGCATCCGGTATGGTGCCGCCTGCTTCTTGTGGTACTTGGCGCCAAGCAAACACGATTTCTGTATGTCGGGTGGGGACTCTGCCGCGAGTGCCATCAGCTAGCCGGACATGTCCGTGTAGGTCTGGGCTTTCGAAGTGAACAGCGACCCTAAGTCGCCGGCACATCGCACATCGCAGCTCGTTGTCCTGAAAGGTCACCGCTGGTGTCGCTACACACCCGATAAGCCACGCGTGGCAGAATGTTTTCGTGCCTCCCCAGCAGAGATAGCATTGTCCCGCGTGCCTGGAGCGACGAGACTTTGAAGTAATTCCCAATGGGCGGCCACCGCCAAAGAGTTGATGCATGGTATTGCCACCCATGCGTTCACTTTCCTGGTGTGGTGTGGTCTTACGCCGATGGCGGTTGTAGGCCTGCCGCTAAATCGATCCAAGTAGGCCAATTCCCCCAATCGTCATTACAAGTCCGGCCAGCTTGTTCGATGGTATTGGTATGGTGCCCTCCATGGGAAGCCAGCGTAGAAAGGTGAAACAACATTTGGTTCCCCAGTGTAGGGAATCGTTGGACTGTTTCAGGTAAGGCATTCGCCACATCGGCCCAGTAGGCAGCCGGGCTCGTGCGCGCCACGAATGTTCCGACGGCGTGTCGAAGATCGCAGGGAGCGTACGCAATGTTGCAACGTCCTGCGCTTCGGCCAGGCAGCGGGCGAGAGTCGGGGGCGTGGTGCGTAGGATGTGATTCGCTTTGGGTACTGCGCAAAAGTGCAGCAAGAGTCAACAAACTTTTGTTTCGGAAGTTTAGGTAAACAGTCAAGCAGCTTCGTCCTCGCCTCAAGCAGGGTGATTTCGGAAGTATTCATGTGTTATATGCAGGCATCGCCGTCCAGGAAATAGCCCTCGGCGCCCTCGGCCGCCGGCGCCAGGTCGAAAGGGGCCGCGGCCTCACCCGGAGCAGTCACAGAAGGGTCGATCGCGGCCCCCGCGCCCACCACTAGCGCCGGAAAGGCAGCCTCGTCCCAATTGCGCTGCCCGCGCGCCCGGCCATAGTGCTCCACGAACTCCGCGTGCGCGTAGGCCACGCCGTCGAGGGCCACGCGCATCGACGCGGACATTTCGAGGGACAGCGGAGCGGCGAGTGGGTAGTGGGGCGGCGGAATGCCGCGAGGAGGAGGAGCAGGAGGAGGAGGAGGAGGAGGAAGGAGGAGGAGGATGAGGAGGAGGATGAGGAGGAGATGGATGGATTTCAGACGTGGCGCTATGGTCACAAGAAGTGTGGGTACCGCTTCAACTACCTCAGCCGCGCGCACTGTCGTGTTTGTAGGAAAAAAACACCGCGAGACGTACCCAAGCCACAAGGAGGTCGTGCTGCCAAAGGTGTCTGGGCCAATGGGCTTCCCAAGAACCGCAAGGGGCCCTCCGTCCTCGCCGACGCCCATCTCGACGTCTACGCTCGCATGGATTCCGCAAATTTCGCCCTCGTGTCCGACGGCTGGGCGCCCAAGCTTATCCGGCGTGTTGCCGCCCAGCGCGCTGTTCTCGAAGGGGAGCCGCACGCCGCCGCCAAGTCAGCCAGGATTGAGCAGGATCACTTGCAGAATCTGGTCCAAGGCAAGCAGAAGGCCTTCGACAAAGCTACTGAACAGGCGCACAAAGCCATTGCACATTCCGCCAAGCTCAAAGGCGAGCTACAGGAGCTACAGCAGAAGTGCAAGGAGGCAGCGGATAAGGCTGCCAAGGCTTACACTCAGATGGCGACGTCAGGCGACCCGATCGCGCAGCTCAGCGGTCTCGCCAACTGCGTCGCTGCCGACCCGCGCCTCACGGCCTTCGGCGAGCAGCTGCAAGCGCTGGTCCCTACCCGTCAAGCGCTGCTACAGCCTGCTCCTGCTCAGCCTGCTGACGCTGACATGGCTCCTCCCGCTGGGGAGCCACAGCACCGGCAGCCATTGCAGCAGGACCCAGCCGCTGCAGCCGCTGCAGCCGCTGCTGAGGCCGCCCGCGTGCAGGCCGCCCAGGCAGCTGAGGCCCAGCGCCTGGCAGAGCAACGGGCAGCCGACGCCGCTGCCACTCAGGCCCGAGCTGACGCAGCCTTCCAAGAGTTGCTGGAGCACATCAACGCGCAGCGGGCTGACTCTACCGAGGACGATGCCCCCGCGTCTGCGGCGGACCAGCTGGCGGAAGCCCACGGCGTCAAGCGTGAGCTGGCGCCCTCCGTCTTCGACTCCATCTTGGATGCAGCCAAGAAGCAGCGTGCGACCAGCTCCAGCGGCGGAGGTCAGGCGAGTTTCTGATGACGGCTCAAGCTGGTCGTTCGTCACCTCGAATGCTAGTGGGCTTGCTGGGCTGGAGGCCTTGCTGGACCACGACCGAGTTCGGCAAGCGCATGCGGTTGCAGTTCAAGATCATCACGTTGCAGATTCTTGTGGCTTGTTGCAACTCGTTCCTTTCGCAGTCGGCCTCGCCAACCTCGGGTGTGTGCCCAGCATTTTGGCCTGCGGTCGCGCCCGCGCGCTTCATTGCACAGGGCTGGTACC